CTTTTATATATATATATACACATACATGTGTGTGTGTGTGTGTGTGTGTGTGTGTGTGTGTGTGTGTGTGTGAGATATGTATATGTTTTGCTATTGTGTATGATCAAAGTTCAAATAGAAAATATTACCCTTCTTATTGGCTTCAGATGTCGCTTGAATCTTGATTATAGAGTTTTCTGCTGGTGCTGCAGTGTCATTACTCTTTGACTGTATGTCTTCATTCATAGTGTAGCTCTAAAAAACAGATATTTTAACTTAGCGTGCAGGTAGAGCCACCGACCTTTATAACAAAATGATGACAAGCTCTTGATTTTTTGTGAAATCAAGGTCTTTCTCGCTCTCAAATGACAGTGTTAACCACTTGATAACTGAAAACTTAATTTATCTCATCAAATTCTTGTTATTTAACCTCAGCTGTTATGGCTAGAAATTACTTTCTTCACAAATAAAATTTTAAGCATTAGAGAATAAAACATATTGATAAACATCTCACACATGTATCGTAACTTGTTGCTCCCTGTCAGTATTCAACAAAGACTGAACCAAAATGAAGTAGTTTGTAAAAAACTACGTAAGAGAAACCAGTCCACCCCAGGATTAAGTAAACTGCAGAACCACTTTTAGCAGCAATAACTTGAAGTGATCACTCTTTCACATCGTTGCTTCAATTCTTTGAGATTTGTGGTCGTTTATTTTTGCACAGCTCTCTTAAACTCCCACCACTGAATATCAGTTGGGTTGAGGTCTGGTCTTTCACTGGACAATTTCAACACATTTGTTCTTTTCTTTTTCAGCCTTTCTGTTGTAGATTTGTTGTGTGATATTTAGTTCAAAATATCTTTTGACTTCTTTAGTATACAGACTTCCTGGATGACTCAGCGACTGTAAGGTTTTCTGTGGATGCAAAATCATCACGTCTCAACCACAGTGCAGACAGTTGGTTTGAGGTGTTTGCGGTGATATGCTGAGTTTGGTTTTATGCATTATGGGCAAACATCTCCACTCTGTTCTCATCTGTCCGAAGTGCATTGTTCCAGATATATTTTGTGGTTTGTTCATATGAAGCTTTGCAAATCTAAACTTTTTTTTAGAGAGAGAATAGAGACTTTCTCCTGCAGACCTTCCAAAGAACCTGTATTTGTTCAGTCCTTTTCTACTGACATGACAGTTAACATTTAGTATGCTAACTGGGGCATGTAGAGTCAGGAGCTCTCATGCTTTTGCAGTTTCTCTGATCATTTCACGTCCGACATTTATGTCCACTCCTTGGAAGATTGTATTAACACACATTTCTCACACTGCTCCAGATCTGCACATTGCCAAAACTTGGTCCCAGTTGATGACGATGGTGTACTTAGTTTTTAACACACTGCTACTGCAGTTTGGCTTTTTTTCCTGTTAAATAAATGATGACATTGTGTAGTCTGTCATGTCTTGTTGTGCACCCGAGGTTGTGTTTCAGAACCTGGTAAGGAACAGATGATTTTATTATATTTGTAAAACAAAAAAATTGACAGTGTACTTTCTTTTCATCAGAGTAGACTGCTATAAGTAGACTTAGAGGAGCAGTTTGGTGTTCATTTTGCTATGACAGTGAACAGGGACGATACAAAGACTTCATCTTTACCTCTGTTTCAGCTGCGCTCTTCGCTGACTCCTCTCCTGCAGTTTAAGTTAACAACAGGCAGGTTAAAAGATCGAACATTGAAGAAATGCTTCATCAAGTGTCAAAATATGTTATTTTGAAGAAATGAATCTCCTTCAGTTAAATATAAAGAGTCTTAGTTGTATTTATACATTGATGTATTAATCGAGATGCTGCCCCTATCAAAGGTGACCTCTTTACTTTCAATCCGTCCAATTGAAGGATTGGAGCCAAACGTTTTACACACTGCTAAACAGTAACAGAATGAGCAATAATCCATTAACAGAAGTTACGCTTCACAAACTACACTGTGCCTAAAATAAATAACGACACACATATAGGTAATGTAAAATAATATGATGTATCAAAAGACTACTGTTGTTAAGATACAAAATAGCACATAAAGTTAGCAAACAAAATTATAACTGTGTGAACAAACTGATAAATTGCCTGTTTAAATGTCACATGATCTGATTTACATCTTCTGATTGGTGGTGCTGAGGACATGGTCACTTTTCAGGACAAAGGGAAGTGACATTTTTGGGTATTTGCTAATAAACCATGTTTTGGAAGAAGGTCAGTGTCTAGAAGTGAACCAGCTCAGTTATTGTGCACACTGACAGCTTTTACATGATATCGCTCATTTTGAATGACGTTTAGACACTTTTGGATCTGAACTGTTGAATCTGTTGGATTTGTAAGACTGTTTATTTCTTTGCAAATGAGCAAAGCATAAAATAGTTATTTCCCTCAATGCATGTTACTGTAGAAGTAAAGTTTTCATTGTTACCCTTCTCAATGTTTAAAGGTTGTGATGGAGTCCAGGTTTCAGATTCTCCTCCTCCTGTTGCGGTGTCTTCTCTTTTCTCTGACTGATCTTCATTTTCGTCTTGTGGCTCAGTCTGAGTAAAGAAGTCACTTGTATGACTTTATTTGCTGGCTGCGATGTCTGAGATTCAAACTGTACATGTGATTTGGCTCTATATAAATAAAACTGAATCGAATTGAACTTGTCATTATCAGAACACTGTCAGAACACAGACGTTGTCCTTTAATGATGAACAAACATTAAAGGGTAAAACATTACCTTTCCTCTGACTTCACGTGTGATCTCCACTTTTTCTTCTACTGCAAGAGGACATAGAAAAGATGATTGTGCAGTCAAGGCAACTGTTCTTTGTTCATGTTATTTGCATATTGTCCATGGTAAATGGGGTTGTACGCCGTCTTAGTGACTGGACATGGATCAATACTCAGTACTGAGTTTTATATTGGTTCAACAAACCGAGAAGATTTTCTGACCACACTGATAACAATGTGTGGAAGGCAGTAATTAGTATGCTGACTCTGAGGTAAATTATTTTGCTGCTTGCAAAAGATATTTGACTTTGTTGTTGCTGTTGCTTTAGTGTAAAGCGTAGTGTAAAAACATCGGATTTCATACAGAAATATAACTTTAATTAATGTTTACACATATGTCTCTGTGCTGAGCTTCATGTCTCTTCATAATCATGACAGAGGAAGACATTTTTTCCATTTTTCTGCTGTATGTACGAGTTGTTTTGGGACATGCATTTTTAGAGATCAGAGCTTGAAATATGTACTGAGAATTGTCCAAGAGCAGCCAACAAAAACACTTAAAAGTACTGAAGGAACAGTAAGTAGAGATTACACATTTGATATCTGTAGAAACACAGATTGGACCAAGCTGGACTCCTGTCCTTCAGAGCTTCTCTCCTTTGCACACTTTTGTGTTTAATAAGATTAATAATTCTTCTTCATGTTTAAACTCCAATGTCCAACAAACAACTCCAAAAAATATATTTTAAAATGCTCGGTCAGGCTGTCGTGATTAGATTACCTCTATTATTGGTGGAAGATGGTACAGATGCATTTTCAGTTTCACTTCCTGTGCTTGTAACGTTCAGCTCTAGGTGCTGAGCTTCACCAGTTTTATTCAATAAAGGCTGAGAAAACAGGTAATAAATAACAGGTTAGATCTGAGATAAAATGTTGAAGTGTTTGACTGTAAGGATGTACACAGAAATGCAATTATTTGCAAATCCCATAAACTGATATTTTATTCCTAATAGACCACACAAAAAATAACTGATGAGGCATTTTAGTATTTCACTAAAAATACAGGCTCATTTTGAATTTGATGGCAGCAACATGTTTCAGAAAGTAAGTACTTTAGTAGGTACTAAAGACAAACAGCTGGAAGGACATTTACAGCTAATTTGGTTGACAGGTCAGCAACATGAGCAGAGCATTTTAGGGTTTGTGGCAAGTAAAGATAGGCAGAGGTTAATCAATCTGCAAAGGAACTGGGCATTGTGGGTAACAACAATTGCTTGTCATTGGTTTTTGTAGATTTAAGCAAAATGTATCTTATGGACATGTTTGTATTGTATATCTTGAAATGTAACTCTTAGAAAATGAATATGTGTGACAGCTGTAGGATTAAATGTGAGAATTATATA